TTACATAGGGAAAGAGAAGAAGAAGATTTTGAGGATGATGGTACTTCATCTACAAAGAAATGGAAGAGGCAGAAAAAGGATGCTGGCGATCTACCTGACCAAGGAGCAGTGACTGTGGCCTATCATGGGACTGACGAACAAACTGGATATGATGTGTGCTCCGATCTCAATGTCGAGCCATCATGTTTGGATGAAATGCAACAAGATGTGGAGGATAATACTGATACCAATAACGGGTCTGAACAAGATGAAATGCGCCAAGGCGATCCAATGCTTTGGGAGGGTGTTGGCTTAAATCCAACACGTGAAAACAAATTGTTGTGTCAGGAAAATTCCACAAATGAAGATTTTGATGATGAAACGTTTGGGAGAGAAAGAACAGTTGGGCTCTTGAGTGCAAGCTTATTATGAGGTTATCTTCAGGTAGTTTTCGATGGCGTTTTGCATTATCCAAATAATAGTCTCCTTTGTGTCTTAGTGTTGGCAAGTAACTCTTTTGGATTGAAATTTTATTCGTATGCTATTAATATGATTCATGAAAGCTGTAGTTGATTGAACCCACGTTAGGTGTCCTTTTACACGAAGAAATGTCAGATATATTATATACAGTTGAGTAATTACTATGATCAAAAGGTTCTTAGAGATAATAAATCGGGGTTTCTCCCCTTTGTGGTGCATGCTTATAGTTGTGACAAGAAGTAACTTACGTTTAATCAACTGTACTTTGCCATCCCTCGTGTAGGGTTCTGACGAAGAACATTGATATGTTTTGCAGGCATAGCACTCCAACCTCCCATCGGATCGCAGATTGCAGATCACATGGTTGTTCCCAGGTCCAGGAGTGTGTCATATATTGAAGGTGCAGTATTTTTGCATATAATATTGATTCCATCAGGAAAATGTAGAGTAGAAATTTAGTCTTGATCGAGGCTCATGAGTCTGCCTTCCATAAACAAAATATTTGTCTTTATGTATTTAGATCTTGAAGAAGAGAAGAAAAATGCAGTTGATAACGTGATACTTGATAGTGGTGTACATTAAGTGAGCAAAATGGCCAATTCCATGTTTCGGTTGTTTATGCATATATGGTTTAGGACTAATTGTGAGGAACTAGACGAGTTGTTTTCGTTGACTAAAAAAAACGTATACATCACGAAAAACAATATCCAAGATGAAGATGTAGTTCTGATTAACGGTTTGATAACAAACTTGCGCATACAGAGACATCTTTGTAGATCATAATTATAAGGTTTTTTTAGCCAAAATGGTCCTTGAGATTTGTATCATTTTAGTCATTTTGGTCAAAATGATTCTATTGATTTTAAATCTCAATGATCAAAATGAGGAATTATGCAAATTTCAGAGATCATTTTGGTCAAAAAAACCTAATTATAAACCATTTTATATGACAATCGCAATCCACGTGTATATTTTTTTTGTTTTTTTTTTTTTTGACTTTCAATCTCCTAATGAAATCCACGTGTATTATTTTTCTTATATGACAACTTGCATTATCTTAAGAGATGCATTTTAATCTGATCGTATCAGTCCAAAAATCCACGTCTCCATCTGACTTGACAATCTTAAAAGTTAAAAACTCAAAAGGTAAAACGTATATTGCAGTCATGTAGATACCAGTTCGGCGAGAGTCCTGCAAAAGCGGCGAAAAACTAGCTGAGTAAATTGCACTATGTCCATCAGAAAGGAAGCTAGAACACCTGAACACGAAAAAGAAGCCAACAACGCGCCATTTTGGAGCTTCCGCTCTGTCCAGAAATCTAAGGCAGTTTTGGATGTTGGATTGGTTTTTTATTATCCTCCCTATTGCCGGAAACTAATGGATCTGTGTTCCAATGCAATCTCAATGATTTTCAGGCAAAATACGTTCGAGCGCAAGCCAATCAGTAATTTTACCAACAAAATCATTATGCAGTTGCTTCAATGATATCACAATGTATACAAACATATCTACCCAGTTCTCTGGCTAATAAAATGTCAACAATAAAATGCAAAAACTTGCCCTAAACAACACAATCTGATATAGTGGGTTGTACCTTGGACACCATGGTTGTCAAGGGTGCAACAATTCCAGAGTTCACTGTGATAGTCAGAAGCATCTCCTTCAACTTTCAAATATGCAAATTAACTTCATTATGATCTTTCTAACAATGGCAACAAAGCAAGACCCACAACATCTTTACACAACAAATTAACTATCAATTCTGCAGTAGACGCATCTGCTGAAAACCCCCTCTCCACCATTTCATGATAAGTCTCATCGCCCTTGATGTCTCATTCTTATTGATGAACCACCGGATAATTGTGATATAGGTGCAATCATTTGGCAAGATTATTGACAAAGTCCACTAATCATTATGGTAAACGTCCCGACATTAAGCTGAAGTCCTTTTGATGATAAACCGCTAAAGAGATCCCTTGAGCATTCAACATTTCCACTTATGCACAAACCTTCAATAAGAATATTGTAAACCACAATATTTGGATCCAATTTCTTGTTGACATATTATTAGCCATACCATCCATGAGCAAATTGTAAGTAACTGTATTAAGCTCAATACCTCTTTGGTCATCATTTCAACCATAGTTTCTGCTTTCCCGGCCAAGCCCTCCTTACAAAGGGTGTCTACCAAGACACTGAAGGTGTGCACATTTGGAAAGATACCTTTGCTCACCATTTCATTGAACAATCTCGTAGCTTCTGTCCACTCCCCCAATTTGCACACTACATGAATCAAAGAGGTATAGGTAATGACATTGGGGGCAATACCCCTTACTTGTCATTTCAGATAAGAGGTTCAATGAATCCACAACAAGAGTATCTGTACAGAGACTGTCGATGATCGTGCTGTAAATGACAATGTCAGGCTTGCAACCTCCTTCCATTTTCCCAAGTAGTTGAATAGCTTCAGTGTTGTTACCTTTCATGCAAGGGCCCTTTACTAGTGTGCCGAAAAGTAACCACATTGGGTTACAAGTACCACTCTAAATCATTTTAGTCAGAATCCCAACAGCATCAACCTCTCTATTCTGAAGAAGGAATCCGTTGATTAAAGTGGTGAAGGCCAGTGACATCAGGTTCAAAACCAAGTTTGAAGAATTTTCCCAAGACAGACAAACCAACCCCCATTTGGTTGAGATGAGAAAAGCAATTAATGATGATGTTTGGAGTATAAACATCAGGACGAATTCCCGACAGCTCCATTTGGTCATTCCGCGAGATGACTGCCGAATAATGTTTCAACTTCACAACGGACGGCAGAGGACGCATTTGAAGCATTTCGTCGAACACATGGAGTGCATCTTCAAGATTATTGACTTTGACACGCCGATGCAAATGGGAGTTTTTAGATTTGGGCGGATGAGAAGGTCGAGAGTGGAACGGACCGAAGTAACTGTTGGGGAATAGAAGAAGAGCAAGGTTATGAAAAAGACAAGGCACAGCCGGCATACTTCTCACTCTCAGTCTGCTGGCGATGACATAACCAACCTTCAAAGAAGAAGAAGCCATTTTCGTCGCCTGCATCCTCCTCAGCATCTGGGTTAAGAAGATGATGCATTGATTGTGTCTATCTAACCCTTTTTCCGGTGAGATTCGGAGTTGGGGGTTGTTTGATAAATAAGGAGTGAGAGTAATTGAAAGTCGTATTTATGTTTTATTATTTTGTAGTATATTGAAAGCGGGAATATTTTCTTTAATTAAATAAATAATCATTTACACCTTATCTAAATATTATGTTTGTAGGCTGGAATTAAATGATTACGTTAGGCTTGCAAGCTGCATCTTAAATCCCCTTACTTCTCACACTCTTGATTGGAATGTGGTATTCACACTTTTTTTTTACTTATTAAACGTTTTCTTTTTCTTTTTTTTGACTATCGAATCGGATGAATTAAATAAGACCAAATGACAAAAATGGACCAGCTGATAATTTTGCCACAGCAGTTCATCATTTTAGAAACCGAAAAGATTCATAGAATCACTATTGTTAAACCGAAAAGATTCACAGAATCACTATTGTTACCTTGTGCATGAATGTCAGTTAGTAATACTATTGTGCCGAAAGCAATCACAATTGCATTATAGTGAATTTGGATCCTCGCAGGATCCTCTTTGTGAGGATTTTGGAGATCCGTGAATCATGTCTGTTCATCGTACATCGTGCGGTTAGAAATCATTTAAATATTTTTATTTAAAATTAAACACAAACAATACCTGATAAAAACTGACAGCAAGATGTGCTATAAACGAACACAATTTACAAATCTCCAGAATCCTCACCGAAAGGTTCAGAGAGGATCCTGTTGGCGTTATAGTTACCTCCCTATATCATTTTGTTGAAAAATGTTGAGACCTGTCTCAACCTTCCTATTTCGAAAAAGAAAGTCGTTGATTAAAGTGTTGAAGGTCGCCGCATTCGGTTCAAAACCAATTTTGAAGAACTTCCTCAAGACAGATAAATCAAATCCAATTTAGTTACTGATTTTGTTAGTTTCAACAACAACAAAAAAATATTCGAAAAACAAGAAGAAAAAAAACAAAATACAAAACAAAAGAACTTAGTTTTCTTATTATTTTACTATAATATATTTACACAAACGGGGTGGAAAATTAAATTAATTGCAAATTGCCATTACAATAGTCAAACACAAGGAAAGATAAATGTCATTAGTGTTACTGAATCTATATATTTGCTTTTGTTTTTTTGTAGGGAATTTTAACTAAAAATCACATTTTTACATTAAAAAATCAATTATGATACTATTCATTTTACCCTTTATTTTGTTTTATCATTAAAACTCAAAAATTTTCAAACCTTTTTCATTAGGTTTTTTTTTTTTTTTTTTTTTAATATATATATAAGCCCTAGCCCCTAGTTCATTGGTTTATGGTTTAGGCAAGACCGATAAACCAAACGCCATCAAATGAGATTCCAAGTTTACTTGTTAGTTACTTCTTGTGATTGTCTTTTTCATAAGAGGATCTCCAATGAAAGATGCAAATTTCAAATGTAAAAGCCCCATTCACATCTCATTTTACATTTTCTATCAATATCTATCGACCTTATTATTCTTTAAGACAAATTGATGTCCACTCCAGGCCTTGAGGTCTGGGAGGAGGGGACATGCCCTGGTGTGAACTTGACCATGAAAATGCTACCTGGGGTACTTGCAGCTATGATCCAGTGCTTTGATTGGACGGTTATCGGGTCCTGATCGGGTGACGATGTCTTCAAATGGATGAACGGCCAAGATTTACTACTCCAAGAGCACATGATCTTGTGTGTGTTCCAGTAGCCCGATTCAGCCCACTCAACATCCTTGACCCATAAGCCAACTCGTTTGTTGGTCATTTTATGTAAAACTATCGCTAGTAAATTTAGTGCCGGTTTCGTTACCTGCAGCATCCTTGAGACTTTGGGCTGTAAGCCATAATCAGCAGGGCGATTCTGAAGCTCAGCTGGCCAAGTAATCTGCAAAGAACTTGTTGCCAATTTTGATCAACGGATGAAGGTGTAAACAGGACGGAGTCTGGAGAGGAAGATCGTGCTGCTTACAAGAGCAATAACAACTGTCAGAGTCAACTTCAAGCTCTACAGATAAAAAATAAAAAAAACCTGTCCTCCAAGCCACTTTCTGCCCCAAAAACAAACCGTGTAACTTTGCAGAAACCATAAAGGATCCCAGTCCAAGAGGTCCTCAGTTCTGGTGGGTTTAGAGCGCAATGATGAGTTGGAATGCCTCCACTCTTGAGCATAGGCCTAGATCACATTCTTGCGGCATGCAAGGAAAATATATCATCAGAATCAAAACTCGCAGATTCCTCCATCTCCACAAGAACCAACAGCTTAAGCCAAAAATACCTGACACCAATTCAAACCAAATTAGAGGATAAATTAGCTTTTAACCAATCCAGGAGAGGCAGATAAAAGTATTGACCCAAAGTTTGAGAAGTACCAAGACCAAGCTGAGTTTGCATATTGACATGAACGATACACATATCACTGAATTGGGAAGTGTCCTCCTGCACCCAAAGCGACTCACAGTTCACTTGGTGCAAAGGGATATCATACTTTATCAACAAGATCATTCGACAAATGTACAAAAACATGTGCACGCATCATATTGCTCCCCCCATGAAATGGTGATTTGAACTAGAAATAGGGAAATTCCTTTTGTCCTAGGAAGCAATTAATAAGAGAAACATTCACCTCCATAAAAGCTCCCCATACCAGACATCATCATCCGCCCCGCTGACATTGTTTACCTGAATTTGATCCCCTGCAAAACAGTAGCGATAGAGAAAATCAGTGGCACCCTTATACTGTTCCATCAAGATCCAACATTAATTGTTCAGAACATGATTGAATGTAAAACCGGTCTTGTTCACTCCATCTACACTAACATGAGCTTAGTATAACAAGCAGGGGATTGGTCATTTTCTTCAGCTAATTTTACAATCAGAAGTTATATATGTACATATAAGAGAGAGAGAGAGAGAGAGAGAGAGAGAGAGAGATCATCATGCTTGACATCCACAGAGTTACTTGTAGACCATCATACTCAACACATTCCAAGGGATTGATATATTTGTCTTCAAAAGTAAGCTTTCAGGCATAACATGGTACTAATAAATAACCTGTAGAATACATCCACGCTTACCAAAGGTGAGTTTTACTGTTGAATCTCTTCACAAACTTAAAGGAGTTTTACTGTTGCTACAAACTTTCCCCTGTTGTTGACTTGCCTTGGCTTTTTCCTTTTTTCATCCAAATAATCATACTAATAAAATCAATCAAATAATTGTTTCAGCAACAAAAACAATTTACATAACTACTGTAGACAACCAAAGTTCAAAGTCTTAAAACTGTCTCTATCCAATATTGCAAACATCAGCCCTAGATTTTCCCCAAATGAAAAAAACATGACAACTTCTTACTAACGTAATCACTATGCAACCTGTTATCACAATATTGCGATGTATAACAATTTTTCTACTAAACTCTTCAAAATAAGCATATGAAACTACTCAAATGCTAAACTTTGGGGTGAAGTAAAAAATATACGTTGTGTTTCCACGTGACTAATGAAGAACATATATAATACACTAATCAAAGGTGCAATAGGTTCAAAGCTCGTTATAATAATTAGAAGGATCTCTTACCAATTTCAAAGATGCAAATCAACTTCATCGTGATACCTCAACCAATGTCAACAAAGCAGGATCAACAGCATCTTTAGACAGCAAATTAATTATCAATTCCATAGTTGATGCATCAGCAGAAAAACCCCTCTCCACCATTTCTTGGATAAGTCTCATTGCCTTTACTGTCTCATTGTTATTGATGCAACCTCGGATAATTATGTTGTAGGTGCAACCATTTGGAGGATGACCTCTATCTTTCATTTCTTGAAGCAACTTTTCCGCTTCACTTATTAAGCCCCCATTACAAAATCCACTAATCATTATAGTATATGTCCTGACATTGGGCTGAAATCCTTTTGATGATAAACCACAAAAGAGATTCCATGCAGATTCAACTCTTCCAGCTATGCATAAACCTTCGATAAGAATATTGTGACTCACAATATCTGGGTCCAACTTTTTACTTACCATATCTCTTAACAGTTCCATTGCCTTAGATAGTTGTTGGTTTTTACACAGGCCATCCAGTAAAACATTATAACTGTGTACATTTGGAAGTTGGCCACAAGCTTGCATCTGAGAGAAGAACTTTTGTGCATCTTGTATTCTTCCTACTTTGCAAAACCCGTCCATAAGAGTGTTATAAGTAACTGTATCTGGAACCAGTCTGTTATTAGACATTTCATTAAAAATCATCAGTGCCTCATCTATCCTTCCATGCTTACAATAGCCATTGATGAATATGTTGTAGCTATAAGGATCAGTTGTGTAGCCCTTGCTGAGCATTAGTTCCAAAACCTTTTTCGCCTCACCCATTTCTCCTCGCAAACAATAACCATCCATAAGCGAACTGTATGTGACCATGTCAGGCTCAATATCTCTTTGAGTCATCATTTCGACCATGCATTTTGCTTTCCCGACCAAGCCCTCCTTGCAAAGGGTATCTACCAAGACATTGTAGCTGTGCAAGTTTGGAAAGATACCTTTGCTCACCATTTCATTAAACAATCTCGTAGCTTCATTCCACCCTCCTAATTTGCATACTCCATGAATCAAAGAAGTATAGGTAATGACATTTGGGTCAATACGTTTACTCATCATTTCAGAGAAGAGGTTCAATGCATCCACAACTAGAGTATCTTTACAAAGGCTATCGATGATCGTGCTGTAAATGACTAGGTTGGGCTTGCAACCTCCTTCTTCCATTTTCCTAAGCAATTGAATAGCTCCAGTGTTGTTACCTTTTGCACAAAGGCCCTTTACTAGTGTGCCGAAAGTAATCACATCTGGGTTACAATTACCTCCCTTCATCATTTTATTCAGAATCTCGACAGCATCAGCCTCACTATTCTGAAGAAGGAATCCGTTGATTAACGTGTTGAAAGTCGCCACATTCGGTTCAAAGCCAAGTTTGAAGAACTTTCCCAAGACAGATAAACTAAACCCCATTTGATTCATATGGGAAAAGCAATTAATGATAATGGTTAGAGTATAAACATTAGGACGAATCCCCGAAAAACCCATTCGGTTGTGCAACGAGATGACTGCCGAATAATGTTTCAACTTGGCGACTTGACCCAAGAGTTGAGTGAAACAGAGAATGGAAGGCGGAGGACGCCTTTGAAGCATTTCGTCGAACAGATGGAGTGCATCCTCAAGGTTAGATACTTTCACAAGACGGCGTGGTTGGGTGTTTCTAGATTTGGTTGATTGAGAGTGAAACGGAGCGAAGTAATTGTTGAAGAACGGAAAAAGAGTAGAGTTATGAAGAAGACAAGGCACAGGCGGCATACCTCTCACTCTCAGTCTCAGTCTGCTGCCGATGCCATAACCAACCTTCAAAGAAGAAGAAGAAACTGTCGCCGCACGCATCATCTTCCGAATGTCTGTCTGTGAGTGGGTGAGCGAGTGGGTGTTGAGCCTCAAAACTCCAACGGCTTCGTCGATAAATCTCAAGTTACATATTCTTCCGTTTGCTTTTTGCTGTTTCAAAGTTATATATTATTATTTTATTAACCATATACAATTTAGTTATGGTGGCACTACAATCTCATACCTCATATTTTTTTTAAAAGGATCATCTCCAGATCCCTTTCACATGAGCCTCCCGATTAATAAAATTCTCTTTATCAACTAAAAGAGCATAAAAAAACAAATTAGTCTTCTATCACACAAAAAAATTGATGGGCAATAATGTAATTTCATAAGTTCAAATTTTATTGTTTTTTATTAAAACCTCATCTACAAATGATGTTAAAAGACCTCTAATATTAATAAAAATAAATAAAAACCAAAAACAAAATCAAAAACCTCTCACTCCCCCCACGTTCTCTCTCTCTCCCTCTCTCCTTCTCATTTTCTAAAAAAATGTGTTCATACACACAAAGTGTGTCGGCAAATGCTAGTTATTTTATTAATCATATACAATTCAGCCATGGGTCGCACTACAATCTCATACCTCATATTTTTGGAAAATGATCATCTCCGAATCCCTTCCACCTGAGCCTCCTTACAACAAATCCGGACCCTTGAAATTTGATTTAACGGTTAAAAATAGGGGGTCCATTAAAAGTTATAATAACTTTAGTCGTTGGATTATATTTTAAGGGTCCGAATTTGTTGGTTAGAGGCTCAAATGAAAGGGATCCGGAGAGGATCCATTTCCCATATTTTTAACATTGTAATGTCATATCTTAATTTATGAATTTGTTGTCATGTCATACTTGCGTTAATTAATCTGTCAAATTAATGTTAAGTGATAATATGTCAAATGTAGGGCTCATATTTTGTTGACATGACAATCAACTTGTGACAATGGTCAAACAACTAATAAAAGTATTTAATTATTAAAATTATTTTAATTCATTTAAATATTATTTAAAAAAATTTCAAAAAAAAAAAAAAAAACTAGCCTCACCCCACTCATCTCCTTCCTTTCCCTCACTTCTCATACCTCATATTTTTAACATTACAATGTCATATCTTAATTTATGAATTCGTTGTCATGTCATACTTGCGTTAATTAATTCATCAAATTAATGTTAAGTCATGACGTGTCAAATGCAAGGCTTATATTGTGTTGACATGGCAATCAACTTGTGCCAATGGTCAAACAACTAATAAAAGTATTTAATTATTAAATTATTTTAATTCATTTAAATATTATTTAAAAAATTTCAAAAAAAAAAATAGCTTTACCTAGACCCAGTATTGTGTCGTGTTTCTCGTGTTCGTGTCGTTTTTTTGTCATACCCGATAGCTTAACGGGTCGTGTTGTGTAATACCCATTAAAATAAACGGGTAATTTGACCCCACCCGAAATCAACCCGTTAATATTATCAAGTAATATGACCTCACCCGTTACTCGTTAAGAAAAATATATTTTAAATCAATAAAAATGAAAATGAAAAACATAATACTAAATTTGTATATACATACTAAATTTCAGAGTTGACCCCTTCATAAAAGTTGTAAAACTTTACATTACGAGTAATTACATTTTTCACACTTCTACAATAATTATTATTAATTTTATTACTTTTGTACTCAAATAAAAAACATTGTTCATGAGATTTGTAGGGTTTTAAAAATCTAAACGACTATGTAACCATCATCTAAGCGTTGAGGATGCAATTATGAACGTTTATTATGCTTTCACATCTCTTAGACTTATACATTAATGATTATGAATTTTGTTCATTTTGAACTCCCTTAAAAATACTATTCATGAGAGTTTATATGGTTTTAAAAATTCAAACGATCATATACCCATCCTCAAAGCGTAAAGGATGCGACTACGAGCGTTTGCATATTTTTTTTCATATTTTTCACACATGTAAATTAATTATTATAATTTTTTTAGAGAATTGTTATTAGCACTCCAAAAGTCTCATTTAGTACTCCAAACTTTCTATAATTAGAAAGAAAAATACATTTGTAAGGAGTGTAGAATGAGATTTTGGAGTGCTAATAATAATTCTTTTTTTTAATGTGTTTAGTATTTTTAAATTACTTGATATTTTTATTTTTAACGTGTTTTATGATTTTTAATCTCAATCATTGACTATAATATACTATAAAAATAAATAAATAAATAAAAATTAAATTTTAAAATTTATATAGAATAATAATTAATAAACAATATATACATATTCAAAATAACTGTTTTCTTATCGTGTTGAAACAAGTTACCCACGTGTCACTCTCGTGTAAACATGTTAAGGACCCATTATTAACGGGTTATTATCGTGTGACCTGATTAGTTATCGTGTTGACCCGAAACCCGTTATTTTCGTGTCGTTTACGTGTCGTATTAACGGGTCATGTAAGAAATTGTCAGGTCTAGCCTCACCCCACTCATCTCCTTCCTTCCCCCCCCCCCCCCCATCGAACTTCTCTCTCGCTGCGCCTGAACCCAGAACCACCATCCCACCCCTCTCTCTCCCCTTCCCCATGGGTGAAGCTACATAAGGGTGAGGAGGGGCGGCCACCCCTCCCTAAGCCAAAAATCAAACCCAAGACCGGTGGTTCCGCCCTTCTTGTCCCATTTAGTTTTCTGGTGTTTTGGGTTTCCTGCACGCAAACTTTCTTTTTTTTCTTTTTTTTTTTTAAATATCCAGGCTTTGCATTTTGCAGCTACTGAAAAGTAACAAAGAAGAAGAGAAAGAGGAAGAAGATAGACTTTCTCTTTCACCTACCCCACGTGTCGTTTCAAAATTACCCACTTTGATTTGATTTTTCAACTATTGTACCCAATCAGTTTGGGCCACATAGCTTTGATTTTTCAACTATTGTAGCCAATCAGTTTGCGCCACATAGCTAGCTATTTAATGTGCTGATTATATTGAGATTTTTTTTGTTTTCTAATTACTGTTTGATTAATTTGCTAACTTTTTCAATTATTTTTAGCCACTTTTTTGACACTATTATTTATCTTCAAATTTATTATAAATTCATACAAACTTTTAAAAATATTTTGTAAAGTATTACGAACTTGTAATTGTGACATCCCACATCGTCCAGGGGAGTGATCCTTAAATGTATATTCTCATCCTTACCTAGCACGAGGCCTTTTGGGAGCTCACTGGCTTCGGGTTTCGTAGGAACTCCGAAGTTAAGTGAGAAGGGGCTAGAGCAATCCCATGATGGGTGACCCACTAGGAAGTTGCTCGTGAGTTCCCAAAAACAAAACCGTGAGGGAATGGTAAGCCCAAAGCGGACAATATCGTGCTATGGTGGTGGAGCGGGCCCGGGAAGTGAACCGCCCCGAGCGGGGATGTGACAATTTGGTATCAAAGCCTAACCCTGGCCGTGGTGTGCCGACGAGGACGTCGGGCCCCTAAGGGGGGTGGATTATGACATCCCACATCGCCCAGGGGAGTGATCCTTAAATGTATATTCTCATCCTTACCTAGCACGAGGCCTTTTGGGAGCTCACTGACTTCGGGTTCCATAGGAACTCCGAAGTTAAGCGAGAAGGGGGTTAGAGCAATCCTATGATGGGTGACCCATTGGGAAGTTGCTCGTGAGTTCCCAAAAACAAAACCGTGAGGGAATGGTAAGCCCAAAGCGGACAATATCGTGCTACGGTGGTGGAGCGGGCCTGGAGAGTGGTCCCCCCCCGGGCCGGGATGTGACAGTAATCATTTGAATTTTTATCTCCTACTGTCAAATACAACAAAGTAATAAAAAAAATTTGTCAATGTTTTCATATATTATATGTTTTATAGTCAATGTTTTTAGATATTTTATGTCTATAATAAATAGACACTTATTTATACAATATATAATAAATTTTTTTAAATTCGTCTAGTCCACCTAGGTCAGGTCATGTCCAATTCCTACTTCGAATATTTCGGTTAGTGCAATTCTCCTACAAATATCCCGGGTAGTTCACATAGGTCTCGAATAGATGTCCACATTTTTTCGGGACCTTAAACCGTTTAAATTTCGCCCCTCCTCCTAACAATTCATGGCTTCGCCATTGCCCATCCCTCCCGTATTCTCTCTCCCTTTCTCCCTTTCACGATGCGGTCCTAGTGTAAAAAATACATCTCTCTCAATGGAACAAGGGAACGAACACATTGTGGCGGAGATTCTATAAAGCTTCATTTTGGGTGACAAGAATAATGGTTAAAAAGAAGCAGCTTACGAAACACTAAAAAAAAAAAACACTCAAACTCCTCATCAAAAATCCAACTGCAGTTTGTTACAGAGGTGGGAAATTCAACGAACTCAATTTGGAAGTTCCCCAAGAACCCTACGTACTATATCGATTTCTCCATCCACAAATAGTTCATTTTCTCAATAAACAATCAACGAATAAGAGTTGCGTAGCCCAGCGACTACAGAGTACATATATAAGCCATATACGTTATGTACACACGTGTTTTTCTGACCACTAAATGTTCGTATCCCCCTCTCTTTAGTTAATAGCAGTGAGGGGAACTCTGGAGTCTCTAATGGATTGAGCAGCCTCGTACGCCCCTACGATGTGTTTTAGGTCTCCATTTGCTTGCGGTTTCGCCGATCTTCCATCCCAGAATAACCTCAACAATTCCTCAAAAGCAGGAGTCCTGAGCTCTTCAATGGATGCAACGCTTGGAAGATTGAATGACCTCTTTCTTGGCATGGAACATGATGGTTCCTCCACCTGCTTGTTGCAGAGGTTGAAAATATCGTTAAAGAACACAGAATGCTTAAAAATGTGACTCTACTTAGAAACTAATTGGGTAATTTTTAAGATTAGTTTTTTTTTTTTTCCGGAAAATTTCATTGAGAAAAACAGTTATTGCACAATACCACTCTTAACAGTCTTACCACATATTCATCGAGAAGAAATTTTCCTGCATTTTCGGTGATTTCAACAACATTATGGTAGTGACCTCCCTTTAGTTCCCTCAGATCCCCGCAACATGGAACAATCATTGAGTTCAGATTTCCACACGCCTCACGGTCAAGTTGTAATGAATCTGCAAATATCTGTTTCAATAACTGTAGTACAACATATAACAAAAAAGACAAAT